TTAAGTCATCCTCAAGTACTTAGTCAAGTCGTCCTCAAGTACTTAGTCAAGTCACCCCTAAGTCATCCCCAAGTCGTCCTCAAGTTACTTGTCAAGTCATCAAGTCCATTAATATAAGATGAGTGACGCCGAATTGAAGGAGGAACCCCAACAAGATACCACGATTACCAAGTCTAAAGTCCGAGGCAGGGTGGCTGCTGGGAAAAAGCTCGCTGAAATGAATAGGAAGAATAAGTCCAAGAAAGAGAAAATAGAGGAAGACTCATACATCAATCCGGGTTTTGTCATTGGCGCCTTAGGAGTCGCCTTGGCAGCAGGCAGCCTCTACTTTCAGTGGAAGGCCGCAAATAATAAACCTGCGGTGCAACATTATGTAGCACCTGCGACCCCAAAGAGTAGAATACCAGACATGGAATAACTTTCTCACTTTGTAATATAATGTCGTCTACATTAATTAAGACTGTTGAAGAGGCAGCTATCATTACTTCTATTGTCGCGGGTATAGGTTGGGTAGGCAAGAAGGTACTTAAGGAAGATCTTACTGAAGACCCAAGCAAGAGCTTTACTAATTTTGCCAAGATGACCGCTGCCGTAGGCGGGGCTATTATGGCAAAGGATTATTTGCAGAAGGAAAAGTACATTCCCTCGACATAAGCTTCGCTTATGCCCTAGATATAAATGGTTAGTGTGGTCGCAGGCGGAGTCATTGCAGCTTTAGCATTTACAGGGGCCAATTATGGCGGCCAGTACTTAGACAGATTAGTTAGAGGCGATAACAGCGGAGCCGCTAAAAGAAAAAGGCACGACTTAGCGTTGGAGAAGTATCAAAGGGATGTGGCAGCATGGAACGAGAAAAGACAGGCCTACAGGGATTGGCTGGATAAGAACTACGTGGACAAGATGCAGGCCGACAAGAACTTCGAGAATACGGACTACGCTTTTAAGAGCGACTGTCTGTAAAAATCGAGAATGGTCGGACAACTGTGAAAAATTCAATTTCTCCATACTTTGCCCAAAAGACCCTTATGGTAAACTATTTTCGAAAATAGCATTAAAAAGTTTGGCCGATTTTTATTTTTGGCGAAATTGAGAAAAGTTGAAATTCC